TTCGAATTCAGGCATAGCAAACGGAGGGGAATCCACTTGCTCCGCGGAAATCGGGGGAGGAGAGTCCTGAACATGAACTATTGGGATATTTACTGAAAAGAAAGAAATCGAAAAGGTAAATCGAAGAGTTCATACTAGGATAAAATGGAAAAGTAACAGTGAAAGGAAAGTCTAAATACCAGGGGGAGGTAGAGCGAGGAGTGCTGAGGCAGGAGGAAGAGTCTGTATAGCCTCAGGTTGCTGTAAATCGAAAACAAATATCAGAAAAGAAAATGCATAAAAAAGTCAAATACACATACAAAATTATATAAAGTACCTCAGGAAGGAGTGGTGGTGACAAAAGCTGAGAATCGACATTCGTCAATATAGTCGTCGATGGATGATCCTGAAAATATTGAGTTTTGAAATCATGATTATAAGCTTCATCGAAATCAATAAATATAAAATTCGTGTAAAAGGAGACTTACGTGACTTGAATGAGTGACGGGTGTTGTTTGGCCCGTTGAAGGAACTGTGTTAGAGTCCGTCGACAAAGGATCGAGGGCAGAGGGCTGGACGGATCGAGGACTCTTCGATTTTGGTTTCTAAAAAATTAGAAATCGACAATTAGGTATAAGAGTCCAAAATAGATCTATTATAGACATAGAAGAATAAATAATAAGAAAAGTAAATAGAACCTTCGATCTCTTCGAAGAGGAAGAAATGGTGGCCGAATGTTTACGCTTCCTGACGAGGGCCGAGGGATCGAATTCATCAGAGGACTCCCAGTCCTTCTCTTTCTCAGCAATGGCGACCTTAGAGGACTTCGAAACTGTCAAGAAAGAAGACAGTTAGCTTATAATATCAAGATTTAAAAATATCTAGAAAAAGCAGTAAAATCTCACCAAAAGGTGATGGAGTCAAAATCTTGACTCGATCGATATGGACAAGCCAGGAAGGTAGGAGAATTTGAGGGAGATGGAGGTAAGGGAAATAAGATAATTTCGATACAGAAATATTTTTGTTTTTGGGTTTTGGGCGAAGTGTTTCCCTTAGGGATCTCAATTCTCGAACCCATTTGGGATGAGTTAAAGGTTTGACAAGTCCAAAAGGAGCAGTGGGAAAAGTGGGAAGGCGATCGGGACAATACATTTCAAAAGGAGTCTTTCCTAAGGGATTGACTATTTTGTGGTTCGATCGATTAGTGTCTGTTTTATTGGATAAGGAGATAACAGCATCGTAATAGGTCGATTCTAATTTCAGTGGGTTGTAACATATTTGATAAAAATTCTCGAATCGAGATATTTGAAGACAGTGGAAGTGTGTACCTTTCTTCGCTTTCGATTTATCCTGCAATACAAGAGAAGGATGAGCAATCAATCTTTGTCGGACTTCATCAAAAGTAGCATGACTACTCGAGAACCAATTGGCCCACCATTGAGAAAAACCCACAGTCGATAAATAATTTGATTCAAAAACATAGGGGTAAAAATGCATTGGAGTTTTTGGCAAAAGCTTGGCAAGCTCCCGTCCGATTGTCGATTCAGTTAATTTGGACCTTGGGAAAATATCTAGGGGGAAGAAGGGTAAGGATTGGCTCAGACCAAATTGTCTCAAGAAAAGTTGAGGGTAGTAAATAATGAACTTGAAATCTTTGGACTGGAAACCCGATACTAGCACATCCTGAGTTAAATAGTTACTCCATACATCGACCAACTCTAATTGCAACCCAGGAGTCGAGGCAGGGAATTTCGACTTAAACCAAATTGGCCCCCTAAGTTGGCCACTTACACATCCAAGATGTACAGTAAAAGGAGCTAGGGTTGAATCGAAATTAAATTTGGTTAACAAAAAATTAAGGTATCTACAATAAGCCGCTTCATCGGGTTTGTGGTGAGGATGGCGAGAAGACAATCAGACCCCTTCTATATTTACACTTGGGGGGATGGTAGAAGTTGGGGGAGGATGCTCTCAAAAATCGAGTTTAGCCACAACTGTATAAACAAAATAGGGCCAGGAAAATTTCCCGAAGCTTTAGGAGTACTCAAAATTTCGACAGTCTCGTCGAAAGCAGTATATACATGTGCTAGCAAAAATTTGGCTAAACATACTCTAGGTTGGCCTAGATGTAGGAGATAAGCAAGGTCAAACAGGTGGGAGGAAATTTGGATCGATCGGGGGCAGAAAACATGGGTACACAACCAGTACACCAAAAAGGCTATGTGCTCTTCATCAGTCACAGCTATTGATTCGTCATCGACGAAATGCTTCTCGAGGAAATGCCCATAAGCTTTCGATTCTCAATCGATTTTGGATCTTAGAGAATTGTCCGAAGGACATGCACCCTTAAAATATCTTTCCCCTATAGGTTCTAATCCGGTAATGGCCGCGACTTCAAAAAGGGTGGGCGAGAGGGGACCGCAAGGTAATTCCAGGGCATGTATTTCCTTATTCCACAAGTGAACGGCAACCAAAAATATAGTCATATCCAAATGAGATAAATCACATTGGGACAGGTGCAAAAAATCGAAAATTCCCACGTTTCTCTAATGATCCCCGAATTTGGCTTTAACCCTATCGAACCATCTAATGTACAAAGATTTTTTGGAAGGAGGGCCCGTCCGATACACCTTAGAGACAAGATTCAAAAAATCAACCCTAACTTCAGGTTGGTGTACAAGAGCTGAACTATTCGAGAGGTTGAGGGGAGAAAAAGTTCCATCAATAGAACGAAGAGGACCCCCAAAAGCGTAATTAACACCATCAGCAGTGTAAGGAATGAGTACCTGCGTTTCAGCAATTTTTCGGGAAGCTTCCTCCATCAGAGGGACTAGAGCGAACTTTTGATTGTTAATCTCCAGCAGGTTAGATGCCAATGAGGGAAGAGGCGGAGCGGAAAAGTCAGAAGATTTGGAAGAAGTTGCCATTTCAGTAACTGGTAGAGTGAAGAAAAGCAAGGCAAGAGATGAAGGCACAAGGATGAAGACAAGAGCTCAAGGAAGAAGATGAAGTTGCAAAGGATAAAGGTTCGCGTAAAAAAAAAAAAAAAAAAAAAAAAACAGAGAAAGACCAATGGAAAGGTTAAGGGGAAAATCACCTAGGGAGCTGGAAACGACGGGGGCGAAAGGCAATCAATGTGGCTTGTACTACAAGGAAGCAGACTGACGAGATGGCGACATAAAGCAAAAAGAAACCCTAAAAACCCATAAACCCTAAATCGTTGTGGGCCTCCAAACACTAAAGCGGGAATCGTGTTGAAAGAATATAAACAGAAACTATTTACATTCTTCCAAGGGGGCATTTTGTTAGGAGAAAATCGAGAAAAGCAATCGAAAAATGAAAGAAAGGAAAATCGAGAAACATGTGATTGATCGGTAAAGCAAAGAGGTGGATGGGAGACCATTCGATGGCCAATTAGAAGGGCGTGGCACACAAAATCGAAAGTTAGAGTCGGAATCGAAGGAATAATAGTCAAAAGTTTATTGTGGAACAAATCAAGAAATTAGAGTTATATGATGCTAAGGTTAAAAGGAATCAAAAGTAATTTGAAGTTCTCGATGAAATCGAAATCGAGGGGAAGGTTAACCTACGTGGATATTGAAACCCTGACCAAATTGTGAAAAGGAGAACAGTCAAGCGCACATATGGGAAGCAGTTTCTATACCATGGTAGAAGTCGAAGATCGTGGAAACGTGGGTACAGTATTGAAACCATAGAAGATAAACTGCAATATGCACGTAGAACGTGGTAGCAGTTTTGGTAACTGCTCCTGGAAGGCTTGAATGATGACCTATAAATAGAGCAAAGGAGGAAGGAATAAGGGAGCAGAAAATTGGCAGAGAACAGAATTAGTAGTGAGAAGTCTACCGGAGAATGACGAACATCATGAAGCTTCTGGCAATCTGGATTTCCATGCTCATCGAGTACATTTACCGCTTTCTTTACTTTCCTTGGTAATTTATTTTGACGCATCTTATATTCAGCAATTTTATGTTCTTGTTCTTTCGATTCCTTGTCATTTCAATTCAATGAAAGTTAAGTTTCTGCAATCTTGATTCCTTGCCATTTACATTTCTGTTCTTTCGATTTCTTGTCATTTACATTTAATGTACTTTTAAGGTTTCCGCATTTTACGGGTTTAAGCAATTTAGTATTCTGTATTATTTTTCGATTCGACGTTTTATTGCTTTCTGCATCTTAAATATAAAACACAAAAAGTAGCATTTTCGATAATTGGTAAGGTTCGATCCTCATACGTATTTCGATTGAAAATTAATTTGCTAGCCTAAGTAAAAAGAACTTACGTGGTAGAATTTTGGTTAGTATCAAAACATCTCGGGAGTCGAAATCAATCGAAATTCCACCAGAAACAGAAGGATAAAGAAAATTTAAGATATAAAGAATTATCCTCCATGGTAAATTAACTTTTAAAACTTTCTAGTACCCATTTGCCAATTTCATCTTCCAAAAAAAAAAACATATAATATGAAGTGTTATTTTGGTTATTGACTCCTAATTTATTTTTCTTTTCATAAATAATTTCATATCATCGTACCTTTTTTTTTACTTAATTGTACTTTTTACTATTGTGGTTACGAAGTTTAATTTCGCTAAATTTACCACTTGAGTTTAAAAACTATGCGGATTTGACATGTCTAATAATTACTTAATCATCAACAAATTTAATTTGTGATTATGTAACATGTATAGTTTGGTATTTTTCACAAATTTTGTCATTAAAACATTAATTCGAATTTCACCACTTACCAACTACAATAATTCAGTAATGCAATAAACCCCTTTCTTACCACTTATTGTAACCAAAACATTAAATAAATCCAAGATTTATACACGCAAGTGAGTGGTGTATTTTTATTTTTCTTGATCCTATTTCACTTCCTTTAAATACAGCAACTTCAATTCCGAGGTAGTTTGAGAACCAACCACTTTTGCAAGTAACCTGTTATATACACTATGCAATGCATGGCATGGTTCTCTCTGTTCTCACTTTTTCCTGGTTTCTATTCTCCTTCGTTTTGAACTTCTCCTTCCATTTCTTGAACTTCAAGGATCTCAACTCTTCTATTCATCTTCTTCTTTATCTTTATTGCAACATCAGCTGGTTCAAATCTGCCAAACACACATACCCTACGCTGCTGCTTCTCTATCAAATGGTTCTCTATCACTTCAATGTGAAATAAGAAAGTGGGTGTTAAAAAGTTTTCATCTTTTCTTTAATAACAGATGTTTAATATCTATGCATTTGTTTGTTTTAATACCACATTGTTAACTTATCTTATTTCAAGGATTAGAAATGTATTTTCTGTAAGAATTTTACTTTATAAACAATACACATTAGAGACGAAGCTATAAATAATCATAGTAGTTGATTATAATTGGTCTGAGATTTTGTTAAATATATATTCTCATCATATATTTTAAAGGTTTGATACTGTAATTAATAGTTATTATCATACTTTTATCTTTTGAAGTGCATAAGCTCCTAAGAACAATATAATTCACAGCATTCATTTAAGTCATTTACCTTTCATCCTTAGAATGATTCTCCTTAATTTTCTGCAACAAGAATTGCAGTCAACGTTGATTCTCATGATCATGCAACAATGCTGCAGTTGTATAAACAGAATCAACGTTAAAACCAACAAAAACACTTGACCCCAAAAAGCAAGGGCTTTGGAAAAAGAAGAATTTCTAGTGGGGTAGAATAAACTTGCCTTTTCCGACATGGGGTGGGAGTTGACAGAACCCACGATTGATTTTTTATTTTTTATAAGCCAAAAGGCAAATGGAAAAGGAATTTGTGGGAGCTAGAGAATATGAATATGAATATGATCGTGGTCTTGGATCAACTTATATTCATAGTTATATTTATTGTCTATTTATCTTGGAATCTGATTCCACAAGGAGTTGGACTAAGCTATATAAGGTAGTTGCTTGGCTTATAAGTCCTTTTTATCCTTCACTTCACCTCTACACTTAATTCATTTGAAAACAACATGGCAAGGGGAAGCATCTCTTCATGCACATGCTTTTGCATAGCCTAAAGCAATGCTAATAAAATCTGTAAAGCATCTCTTTATTTGTTTCCCAAGCTATTTCATTAACAGCATTAAAGCAAACACCTCGTGTACAAAATTCTACAAACTATACTTTTGTTGCCATCTTGGAAGAACTTGTAGAAAGTGACAAGCTTCACACAATGGCAAGGTGCTACTTGTGACTTACACAATGTATTCAAGAAATTAGTAATGTTGACTAAAAATATGTAAAGTCACATGGTGGACAAGGATGATTATTCTAAAACAAAAGGGATAATTTTCATCCACGGGATGGAAAAAATTATTTGAATACAAAGTTGAATAAAGTCCTACGTGGGTGCCCACGTCTAAATAATGAAGAAATCGCAAATCAGATTCAGTGATGAATGCAAAATCTTGCATCTGTGTCAAACTCATTACACAATCACCAAACTAATTGGAAATTTTCTCTGTACATAGTCAAATCAATCTACAGAATATTCTTATGAACATGAGGCAAGTCATTGGTCAACCACTGCGAAATATCCGTTTGATGATGGCAACTTTGGGGAGAGAGTTCCTGTTGACGTGAGTAATTTGTCGAGTGGTGAGTTTCCCCATAGATGGTAATTTGAAAGTGAGTGTCACTTTCTTTTCCAAAACATTAATCACCATGGACTCTGTCTCTGCTGAAGAAGAATAATCCGTAGTCAGCATGAGATATATTCCCATCACAATTTGGTCACAAAGTTCATCTGATAGAAATTTAAGTGGTGTTTTGCTAGTATCAATTTAATTCGAATTGGAATAAACTCAGTATAATTTACACATTCAACCAATCCTACAACTTATTCATTGAAAAAAAAAAAAAAATATATATATATATATATATATATATATATAAAAGCTATCAAAATCAAACTCTATTTTATAAAGAGTAGGTGGATCAATGTAGATAATATGATAAAACAGCCTATGAGTCTATTTGCTAACCCGTTAGAATACGGTGAAACAGATTAATGTTTTCAGTTTGTAAATCTATTTTTACCCGTTCTGTCAAATCTATCCGTTGGACTAGCCACTCGTTTAATTAATAAAGAAATAAATATTTTAATTATAATATAATTATTATAAAATTAAAAATTATAAAAAAGATTAAAAATATTTCACTCTTATCTATTATAAGAAATATTATTCTTATTCAAACACAAATTTTCCTTCCTTTTTTCCTCTTTTTCTAGTTATTTCTTCTTTGTTTCTTTTAATTACTAATTGTTTTTATTTTTATGATTTGAATTAAAATTATAACAATTACTTAAAAGAAAAATAATATGAAATTTTATCAAATAAAAAAATATAAATATTTTAATTTTTTAATATAAAAAATATAAATTTTGACGTCATTTATATATATTTATTATTATTTTAAATTATAATTTTTTAAAATAATATATTTATTTATATTATTAACTTGTAATATATATATTAAATTATTAATAAACAAATAATAATTATATTAAATATATTGAAAATTTTAATTTAAAAAATATAATTTTTTTTTTAAATAATGAGGATCTAACTTGCCAATCTATTATTTAACAAAACAGATGAAGATTTACTCGTAGTAGTTATAATAGATCATCCGAAAGGTTGAGGGGTCAACGCATAACATACTGACCCGTTTTTTCATCAAATGCGAGACAAAAGACATGTGAAGACTTTGTTGTTTCTTATGTCTTCATACTCAAGTGGCATAATGGCTTAAGAGGTGAGACACTAAAGGGTAAGATCAGAAGATGTCAAATACGCAATTAACAATAGCATTGGTGGTTAAGAGAACCAAGAGTTTCCAGTAGAACCAAGAACAGAAGATTCCAAAACTAGAGTTAACAAAAAGTAAATAAGAATAATAAATGTAGATGAATAAAACTTCTCTCACACTTCCTTCCAAAACATATGCCAGCCTATTCCTAGGTGGAAACCAACAAGGACCACCTCTTATGATGTGTCTTTCTCTCTCTTCTCTGGCTTCCTCAAGGGAATCAAGTTCTCCTGTTCTTCCTAGGAAAGTTTTCTCTTGGGAATCAATTATCAAAAATTTGCTTTTTTTTTTCTGTACACTCTTCAAAATTAATCAAAAGTTTGGCAAACATCTACAACAAACTAAACCATGGACAAAACCCCTCTTTAAGAGGATCCATTCCAAGTTACAACTAAAGGGAATATATGTAACAAGCAAGCTTACCATTCATTTTTGCAATAATGTCAGTAACCCTCTTCTGGCACTTTTCACATTGCATGTCTGCAGAGAGAACAACCTCTTGAACCTGCTTGTACCATAACCAACCCATTAACACAGAAGTTCTAGATATCCAAGGCCAAAACTCAAAACTAAACTAAGCTAAGCTAAAACACAAACCTGAGGCATGGACAAGGACTCCATAGAAGCTAGACTAGTCCTACTCCCACCAAGAGGAAAGCCCTTTGATTTTTTTGTACCAACAACTTTCTGAAGCTCCCTTTTAGCACCATCTTCAAAATCCATACCTGTGATTAGGTGTGCAACGGATACATACAGTGCCTTAATATTTAACAGGTTTGCAGCCTCAATCCCATCCTGTGGAGAGAGAAATGTGGAGAAAACGATCTATGAACAGCTTCTATGGCTGTGATGGAGCAACCCCATCTCATTTGTTAAGTAGTTGGTTGAAAAAGAAAAAAAAAATGTACTGAGAGCATAATGGCACAGTATGGTAAAGTGAAAAAGGTTTTATGCCAAATTGACAGAGATTGTTCTTTCACTAACGTGCAGAAACAGCCCCCACATAGTGCTTAATTGTTTTTTTCTTCACAATAATTATTCCCTCAAGGTTGCTTATTAAACCAGGTTCTAGGCTAATTCAATGAATCAATTAAACTAATGGTGTTGAAGGGGTTCTGGGCTCAGCATCAAGAAAGTGACAAAGCAAGCCAAGCTGGGTGTGTTGTAATTATCGACGGTACTTTGATAGTGCATTGGCTTAAACAAAGAGAAAATGGATTACACAGATGTGGGAAAAACTAATAAAAAAGTGTTAATTTTAGTTAAAAAAAGCTTCGGTTAATTTTTACTTATAAAAATATTTAAGGATAAGATTTTCGAAACATATATTTCCTTAAATTAACCAAAGGACTCTTTAGAAAGTAAAGAAGAAGAATTACTAAATTATAGACACTAAAAACATATATAAATATATAAGTACCCTTGTTAGGATAACCCCTTTATCCAAAAGTTTACTTGCTTATTATTGGTAGCATTGGATCCACGAGCGAAGGCCACTGTGTGTGGCTAAAGTCAAATAAGTGGCTGGTCGTTGTGGACCAAAATCATAAAATATAAATAAATAAAATTGAAGTGTTCCCCCCTCCTTATCCCATTTAATTACATTTCTCTATTCGAGATATGCATGAACGATTATCAAACTCAACACGGCACAAAAAATGGTGAACAAATGTTCATTAATTTGCACGAGTACCAACTGTGTCCGCTAGGCGGCTATTGACCAACTTACGAGATTTTGACTCACAAATGGAGGAGTCGTATTCAACTTCATAAATATCGTGCCTATCACTATCATACATTGCCTCACTTAAAATCCAATTTTCCTTTTATTTTTGTTTAACTATGCATTTATATACGAGTTCATTTACGCAATATTTTTTGTGATGAGTACTTTCTAAATAAGTAAGATAAAATATTTGTTTTTTCAAAATTTAAAATAATTTTTACATAAACTAATTTTAAAAAACTGATTTCATTTTCTTTTCAAGTTTTTTTTCCTTCAAAATTCTAGTGAGGATATAAATCTAAAAATATACTCCTTATTCATGTCATGATCTAAGCCAATTCAGTTAAATTGTTATTCATAATAATTTATAATTGGAGAACATTCTAGATTTTACTCTTTTTTTCTCTTTACTAATTAACTAAGTTGACTAGTTTTTACTTCATAGAAGTGGGTCCAATTAAATTAACTTAACCTTTGATCAATCCGAAACCAACACCCGTAAAGATGACCACTTACCTTCTTTATTCAGTTATGCCAATGCCAATTTAGTAAATAAACTCTTCAATCGGAATATTTATAACACGTAAAATATAATATCAATTAAAACTTCCACAGCTCTAAGCATAAAAGAACAAGAAACAAATTTCTATTCTTATAGGAGAAACCTACACAAATTACATTGGATCATTTAATGTCCTAGAAGTCAAAGCAATCCTCAGTTATTCCACTACGTTACACTTTTCCTACGCCAAAACTTGTATGCATCATCCTCGCCTCCTTGGGTTGCTTCTATTCGGATTCAAACACCCAACTGGAATGAAGCTTCGATGCCATGCCACAAACTACACAAACAAACTATCACAAGGTGGGGAAGAAAAGGGCTAACCTAAGATAAATTTTCTATGTTAACAAGGACATGGATGAAGAGATGCTAGATGAAAATCTGGGACACATAGGCATCGAAAGAATGCCACTAAGGTTTAAATACATGTACTTTCTTTCAAGGCAAAGAAAGGAGTGAGAGAAGCAGAGAACCGGGAAAATTAGATATGAATCAATGGAGTCACCTACACATAACCATGCTAGTTAAAGAAGGCACAACTGAAGAAGTGAAAATGGAGGGATCCCCTCCTCCATACTTGCATTCATCATGATCAACTTTCAATGATGCTGGGATCACAAAACTGTCAGGAGAATTTGATTTCAGAACCTTTGGCGACCTTTTCCGATGGCTTTCGGTGCACCGTGGCTTCTGATTAGAGGTACTTCTACGTCTCCTCTTTCTTGTGGTCATCCACCTTAACTGCAATAACAAATCATCCTTCAAAACGTCTGCAACCACTACAGGCTTTCTTGGTCTATCCCTATCAGAATCCAAGCAAGTATCTGATGGCTTAGGTTGTATTCCAACTCTAGTTGATGCTGCATTTGTTTTGCTGTCGTTGGATTTGCACGAGTTTTCTGGTGTCTTCAAGCTTGATAAAACAGACGCCACCAGTTCAGGCCTTTCCCTCACATTCACCCACTCATTCCCAACCCAATCTTGAGCCTCTCTTAAGTTACCAGGACCAAATACTGACACCACCTTTTCCCCTGCAAAGACATAACAATAAGGATTAATCAAAATTACGAGATAATACTGAACATAAACGACATAACATTATGTGGACTAGAAATAGTTAACAAGATATCACCCATATTTAAGACGAAAAACATAGCAAGAGTGAAGAGACATACCTGGGAAATAAACATGATAATTAGCTTCGGAGTCTTTTTGAACAACTATTCCTTCCCACCATCCGTCATGCCACCAAGCATCAACAATGGAACCAACACCACCAACCCAGGATAATTCCCGTTTGCCAGAAGGTGGCGCTGGACGGACCGTGGTCCTCCCATGCATTCGAAGACCCAGACTGTCGGGCACAGCAATTCTGAAAGCTAGAACCCATTCCTTAACCACCGCAAAAAAAAAAAAAAACACACATTTTAGTATCCCCATATATGCATAATTGTTCTTCCGGTAACGACTACAAATAAAGCAAGATAGTTTCAACGTACCTCAAGTTTTTTGGTTTCATCAACCGCATCCTGAATGTCTTGATATTGCACCTTCACTTTATATTTGTGTCTCTTAACGACAGAAGCCGAAAACCAGCATCCTCTCATCCCACTGTCTTGAGAGAGGACCTCAACTTGAGAACCAACAACCAAATGCTGTGAAGCATATTCAGTCGTCCCTTTAAGGGTTGTTGTCATGTTTGTGTGCCCAAACAATTTCAAGGAATTGTTTCCAGAACTGATTTTGGTAGTATTCTTAATGTTATTCGGATTTTCCAGTTTAACGACAGTTAAGTCAGTTGCTTCTTTGGTATCATCTTTGGCAAGGCGCAGCCTCTTCTTAGGTCTGGTCGAAACAGTAGACATATGGTTTTCATCCAGTTCCAGGGTATCATCAGACTGCCCAGAACTCCCACTAGACTTTGAATCCTGTTGGGTATACATGTACCTGAGTATTTCCTGTTTCCAATAACCCTTAATCTGTGTTATATCAAAGGGTTTCACATCATCATTATCAAACTGGTGGATGCAAACGAATGGTTCCATGTGGGTTCTACGGGCCTCATTCCGAAACTTTTCGTAGTGTTGTGGACTGAGGACGAAAGCCAACCCATCTATGCATTCAATACTCAGATCTTGAAGATAAAGAGAAAAGAAAACCTCTCTGTCACTAAAACTGTGAGGCAAAACAATACCAACCTCATCAATTTTGTGAAACCAGCGCACCACAACCATCTTGTTACCTCTGGAATCCTCATACAGGTCTTCCAAGTAGGCAACTAGACGCTTGTCCTCTTCTGCCAGAACAAACACAAAATCATGAACCTGAAAACATTTAAAAACACAGCAAATAAATAACAAGAAATTGCCAGAGTCATATCATAAGTTATACGTGCCTAACATAAAACGGAAAATAAAAAAGGAAAACAAGAGAATGAAACTCACGGATATCTGAAAACCATTCCTCTTATAGGCCTGATAGTGCTTTCTTTTTTTCCTACACATCCATGGAAACCCTATCCATGAGAATTCCTTTGTACAATTGTGCATTTTCTGCCCTTGATTATCCTGAATCACACGCAAAATAATCAGAAAAAGAACATCCGAAAACGACGATTAAAAATAGCAGAATAATAACAAACATCAACAAAAGAAAATAGAGTGTTTGTTATATCAGCTTATTCAATACCTTCAAGGATCCAATTTCAGGTTCACAACCACGCTTTTCCACCATAACCACATCCCCAGATGACGAATCTGAAAGATTTAAGGCAAATATAGCAAATTCAATTTCAATTACCAAAAAACAAATTAAAAACAGCAGTATAAAGAAAAAAAGCAGAAATAACCAAAGAAACTTTTCCTACGAGAGGAGATTCAAACCATAGAAAACAAGAAATAAAAATAAAAAATTCAAATGGTAGAATGAGTAAATAAATAAACCACGTAATTTCAGATCCAGTCGTGGAAATCTCGCACCGAAAAAATCTTCCAAAACCTGAGAGATCCCAAAAACAAACCAATACATACCAGACCGAAAAGCTAATATAATCAAAGAACACGAGGGAATATATATATATATATATATATATATATATATATATATATATATGTGTGTGTGTGTGTGTGTGTTTCTATCAATTCAGAAAAACGGAAGAACCCAGAGGAGTGGCTCACCCAAACCAGAATCCTACACCAAAACCCCCAAATTTCTAAGGGATCCCCAAACATTAAAAAAAAAAAAAAAAAAAAGAGGTCGAAAAAACGAGCTTATTTTTTCATCCTATTTCGCAAATAAAACGAGAAACCGGAACTTTTAAAATAATAAAAAAAAGGAAGGGGTGAAGAAGAATCAGAAGCGTGTGGGGGAGGGCAAACCTGAGACAACTGAATCCAGCCAATCAACAACCTCTCTTCGCGATTTGAGCTTCACGTAAGGACCCAACGACGCGCTTCGAGTCGCGTAGCGATACGACATGTGTCTTAGGGTTTTCTCTTTTCCCACGACGGCCAGATCCGCCGCACCGCCGCGTCGTTTCAGCAGATAGTGAACCTCCCTCCTCCCCTTGTCACTCGACACCAGCACCTCCTCCCAGCTCACGTACACGCTCTTCTCGCACGACGTCGTTACCGCCCAAGACGCCACTCTCTCCATCCAAACGACAACAGCCCTCTGCGTTTCCCCCTCGCCCAAAGCGCAAACTTGAGAGGAAAAAAAAAAAAGAGACTAGCTCGGAAAAAATAACGAAACGAAAAAATAATGAGAAGGAGAAAAAAGAAGAAGAAGATGCGGAAGAGAGAGAGGGTTTGAATTGCGATTTATAAAAACGTTGGATGTTCGAGGGGTCTAGGGTTTCGAGATCTGGGAGATGGATCCGACGGTCTATATTCATTTTGACGCAGGAAAGGCGAAGGAAGTTGCGCGGGCAAGTAGAGTTACGTAAATGCCCCTGCAAATTTGGTTGAACTCCAGTTCTGCCATTAGTTTTATTTTTATCATTTAATTTTAATTTAAATGAAATGTAAAAAAATGGAGGAGGTGGTGGTCACCGGAATTGGCGGTGGAAAAAAGAAAGAAGAGAAGAAGACTATCTCTTTCTGAATGCCAACTGGAGGTCATACCAATGTGAGAATGATACAAATATATATATATATATATATATATATATATATATATATATATATATATTAAGTTATAAAATTTTAATTTTGGATAAATTATTCAACGTGTAAGTTAACTTTATTTATTAGTTTTTATACCTTCTACCGAAACCATTTTAATTTTATCTGAGTAGAATAAATTTATTATAATTTTTTTTTAAAATATTTAATATAATCGTATATGCGTAATATTAATTCTCATATGTCTAATTAAGATTAAGATGTTATTTTTAGTTATTATAATCTAATTAGTAATTATAAGTATGAATTTTAAATACATTGTTGCAATAAATATTTGGATCAAAATGGTATTTTTTTTAATAAAAACTTAATATATGGACAAGTTTTGAAGAGAAATCTTAATTTATGAAAAAACAAATTTCCCGTTTTATAAGTCTTATTTCCAATTATTGTGTATTGAATAGTGTGTAAAATTATAGTTTGTACTAAAAAAAACATAGAATGAGATTCTTTTCTTATTAGCTATCAATTGAAAAAAATAACCATTTTTAACAGTCCTTATCCCTCATAAAGAGATAACATTAATAATATAAAAGTAAAAGATAATTAATATATTAATTACTATAATTAATGATAATAAAATTATTTTATATTTATAATATTTTAATTTAATTTTTTTTATTACAATCCTTTTTATAAAAAAAACTTACATATATTTATATACTAAAATTTAAAGATTTATTTTTCATGTTAATCATAATGTAAAATAATAATTCATCTTGTTGTTAAATTATAAGAAAATAAATAATAAATAATTAACTTTTTTTTAATAAATATGTCTTCCTTATAAAAGTATACATTGAATTTTTAAAATTATGTTTATTCCAAATAAAAATGTAGATTGAAAATTATTTTGTAAAACATAATACAAGAAAAATATTTTTCTCGTTTAAAAATACAATAATGGACATAAAAAATACATTCTAAATATTTTATTTTTTTACTCAAATATAAAAAAGAAAACAGTTACAAATGTAAAAAAAATTATTTCTCATCTTTAATCTCTTAAAATATAAATACATAGGTAACTTTGTAATTATAATTTATTTATTTATTATTTTTATAATGACAAGTTTGTTTCCTTCTTCTATATATATTTTTATTCAACAAATATATTCTCATTTTATTTATTTGATCTCTTTCTTTTATTTTCTTTCTTTGAAAAAAATATATAAATAATGACTAAATTAATTATAAATTAAAATTAAGTTATACCAATAAAAATATATAATGTATTAATTAAAGTTTAAATAATTTTCATTAATTTATTGCTATAATGATGTAATTTCATTGAAAACTTAAGGATGCTCATATTAAAAATATAATTGTAATATTAAATACAAATTAAATTATAAAAAAACTCACTAATAAAAATTTAATGATAAGAAACAGTTTAAGTATTTATTTAATATAAAATATCAACGTTATTTATTAAAAAAAAACTATAGTTATTATGTTGAATATTAATTATGTTTCAAGATAAATGTGCTTTAATTAATATAAATGATTTTTCAGTTATAACAAATTATTTAAATGAAACTACAAACATAACTTTCAAATCGGATGTTTTTAATAAAATAAATAGTTATATCACTATTTAGTTTATGTTTACAATGAGAAGTGAAATAGTTACATTCATTTCAAAATATAATTAAAAAGTGATATTAACATTTTATAAAAAAAAATAAAAGAATTTTTTCAAAAAATAATTCGAAATTTCTATTATAACAGATTAACGTATTAATAATTAATATTTATTGATAAATAAAATTATTTAAACATGTATTATGTCAACTTTTTTATTCTTATTACAACTACTTTTCTTTTTTTCAAAATACAAGAATGCTACTTAAGGATATTGATGTGATGTCTTTTATTCGCACTATTATTTTAAAATTCGAATTAAATTGATCGGTTTAACTGATGGTATTAAAAATTAATTTAAAAATAGATTCATTATTTTAAAATAATTGAACTTTAATTAATTTAGAATAAAATTAGAAAAATTAATAAAATCTAAAAAAATTACCTGAGGTTTTTTTTATTTTGAAAAAAATATAGACAAATTTTTTTTATATAATTTGTTATAAAATATATAATATTTTTTATCATATTAATTATATTAACTGTAAATAATATTTATTTTATAGTATTTTATTTTATTTTAAATATTAATTATTTTATATTTTTATATATTTATATTTATTATTTTTATTGTAATGCTCGGTAATTATAATATTAATTTTTAAAAATATTATTTTTAATTAATTTATTAAATATTTATTATACTATAAAAATATTATTTTATTAAATCTAATTATATTTATTAAATCTTTAAATTTTTAATCCATGTTTTTACCGTACTAATCTGATTTTAAAAATATTATATAGTTGTGCTATTATGATTTAATTTGGTTTTCACACATTTTCAAAATATAAGTTGAGTCCACTATCCATAATCATAATTATTTTTCTCCATCCTAAGTGTTACAAACGTTATGACGGGTGTTTCACACAAAAAAATGCAAAGTGTTCCTTTGAACTTCTCTTTACAATTACATAATATGCACATTCATGTTCCCTCACAAGTTTAGGTCACTCACCACTAATTTAAGTTTGTTTCTTCCTCCTTTACATGCTTGGTCATTTGTCTCAAATGATATTCCCTCACAACATACACCACGTCACAATGTGCACAAAATCATGTTCATAGTTTAAATAAAAATTTTGTTCTCAACACACAATTCACTATTAAATATCCTTATACAATTCCAAAATAGATTTCCACGATTTAATCCAGTTTAATTGTATATAGTTGCCTTTTATAACAACTATTCATTCATATTTATGGTTCACATATAATTTTTATTTTTATTTTAGTCTTGGAATCTTATCTTATTTTATTTCTTTTAGACTACTATAAAATAAAATAAAAATGTACACACGATATTAAAAATTAAGAAAACAAATATTAATTTTTATTAAATGTTACTCGATCAATAACTTTATAATTTATATTTTAGTGTATTTTATAACTTAAAAATTATATTTGATCCAATTATATATTTATTAAATATATATTTTTATAATTATTCTCACTGCGGAGGTCGTAATAAAATTTGATGAAATTGGTGGATTATGTTCTAAGTTTTGATTTTGTTTTTAGCTTCGATGACTTTATTTGAAAAGAACAAAGATTCCTTTACAAATGACAATCCTCAAGTTAGTTTTTAGATAAAAGAGTAATATATTTAAAAATAAGTTACAAGGTGAGATTTATTTTAACTAAATCTCCTTATATACGACTCAAAAGATAATAATTACCTAAAAGATAATAATTAATATAAGATATTATAACAAATAAAAAATAATTAATAATATGTAACAAAATAATTAATATAAATAAAATAGTTTTAATGGATTTAGGTCGAGTAGGTACACAAACCTCCAAGCTCAAAGACAAAATTCCTTTAAGAATAAAGGTCATACGAGTTTAAGGTTAAATTTATCATTTCATTAAGTAGTGTTCAGTTTGATATCAATCATTATTTGGTTAGACCAAGATATATTTGTAAGATTTACTCAGTAAAACTTAGATATTTGATAACTTGTATAATTCGTTTAACCTCAAATAAGGTAAATATAAATTTTGGTAACTCATGTGACCTTTAGGAAATGATGTATATCTCGTGTGACCCCGAGTAACATAGATGCATGTTTTGATAACTTATATATCTGAGTAAGGTATGTATTATTTGTGTGATCCCGAACACAAGTAAGGTATTTTTTATAACTCATATATCTGAATAAACTATGTATAACTCATGTGATCCAAACACAAGATATATGCAAGTTTTGATAACTCGTATACCTAAATAAGGTATATATACCTCATGTGACCCGAATAGGTTAATAGTTTTATACTCGAGTGACCTCAAGTAAGATAATAGTTTTATGTGCGACCCCGAGTAGAATAATAGTTTTATACTCGTATGACCCCAAGTAGGATAAGTTTTATACTCGTGTAATTCGAGTAGGATAATGGCTTTATATTTGTGCGATCCTGAGTAAGATAATATTTTTATACTCATGTGACCTTAAGTAGGGTAATAATTTTATACTTGTGTGATTCCGACCAGGCTAATAATTTAGGAATCTAACTCATAATCGTTCCACCAGTGTATAATATGAATCAACAAAGTTATACGGTAAAAAACTGTATCATTATAAGACTTTTTATCATGGTGGGGAAGACTCGGCAAAACATAACTCTATTGTTGATATACAATTTTACTTGTTCCTTTTATATAGCTAAGTGCTTTTTTGAATATGTTGAGTCATCGTATTTCTCTAGGTCGAGTGCTCCCAATTAAGTGGAGAGGTATCTTCATGATTCTTGGGATGAATTGGTAGTTATTGTCTTATTCGTGAATTTCAATTCATTGTGTACGTTGGGAACGTATGGGTAGAAAC